CACAAAATGTGTGTATGTTAGTGTTCAATTTTTTTGTGTTGTACACAAAAATTATTGTGTAACAATAATAACAATTGTGTTTTTTGTGTATTAACACAAATTTTGTGTTGATACACTAAATGTGTGTGTGTTTAATTTTTTTGTGTTTCTTTTGTTTTTTGTGTTTCCCGTATTAACGGGAAATAGAACTCGAAGTAGCCATGGACAGAATTTTTTAGCTGTATTGGAAGAAGAGGAAAAGGCAACTTTAATACCGCACAGTGGATCGAGTCAATGGGAGGAGTCTGATAAAATTTGGAAATTTAAAACGCTTGTAACTCCGTTTATACAAAACGTTGAGGTCTTAAAAGTAATTCCATTGGCTTCCTTTTGAAATTTTCTTCTGACAGCACCCCTTCAAATTTGAAATGTGACGAATTGAACATCAAAATTCGCAGTTTAAACCAAAAATTTCATGTCCGACCTCTAATTGAGTCGTTCCACTGTGTCACGGTACACAATCTTCCAAAGAATAAAAAAGGGAAAGGGTGCGAGAAGAAATGACAAGTTTCCATGCATACCCCAATGCCCTGGTCGCACTTGGATTACATTTACATTTTGCAATAAGGAACCACTATCTCTAGCTCTCCCATAAAAGCACGTATCTGCATAGGGAAACCAATGGCGTGAATGTTGTTTCTGTAATGGGTCAGAAATAGTGGTTCCTCATTGCAAAATGTAAGCCACTTGTTACACAAACGAATGAGCTCTCCATCCCGAACTCTAGACCGTCCACCCCATCTGCCCTTAACCGCGTCGATATTTTATTGCATTCCCATCAATTCTGAGGTCTAATATTATCCTGTCATTTTGGCTCGTGAGTGATGGCTACGTCTTAATTCCTGAGGCAGGCGGCCCACTCCGATCCGATTTCCATTGTTATTCAACATCCTGGATAACGTGGCAAATACTATTGGAGCGGGTTGAGCGGAAACAGCTAAAGAGCATTCTGCCATGCTAGGGAAGAACACCGTATGAACATTCGAGTTACTAAAATTCCCGGATAAAACATGTAATTTTGAGGAAAGGTATGCATATTTCTTCTTGAAATCTGCGGACACTTTCCATTAACTTGAGAACAAAACTACCTTAAAAAATTTGAGGAGAAAGATTGACAACTTGTCCCGGTATATACATATTTTATCGGAGGAAATTTGGCAACGGCTGAGGGTTGCTTCGGCGTTGTTACTTATGCCGGAATCACGCGCTAAATGTGAAAGCTGAATGTGGCTTAAATGTGCAGGTCGTCGGCCCGATGCCGTCGCGCAAAATTCAGCAACGATTCTTAGCGACCCTCGTAAAAATTGGCGATGGAAGCTGCGTTTCAAAATACCATAGGAGTTCTTATAGCCGACTAAAGAAGGCTATTGAAAATCATATAGCTGGCTGTAGAAAGCGGAGCAAATCATATAGCCGGGCTACGAAGCTATAAAAAAGTATACAGTCGGGCTATAGTTCCTATTGCAGGGCTTTACACTTTAACGCCATTGGCTATAAAAGGCTATAAGAAATTGTGTAGAAATTCGTGTGCTTTGGAAATCACTAAGTTTGATACGGAACTACCTTAATATTTACAAAACGCACATTATATTTTCCTTTAAAACATTTTTTTATTCATCAATTAAAATGAGAATAATCCATACAGAGTGTGCAAACATTTCAAAATCATGAGTTGAAAAACGCTGACTCCGCGAGATTAAATATTAGAGCCTAACACAAAACGGAGCGGCGACGCACTGGCGCCTACAAACCTAACAGGGATACTTCACGCATTGCGCAATGCGTGAAGTATCCCTGTTAGGTTTGTAGGCGCCAATGCGCGTTTCGCGCTCTCTGCCCGCCCGCTGCGCCGCAGCGTGCCACGACGTCTGAAGCAACTATTTCACACCAGAGGTATTGCACAATATCATAAGAAATTGGAGGCGCTCCAACATATTAAGAATGACAGGCATCCTTCAAAAGTACAGAGCTTTCCTCGCAAAATAAATCAAGATACTACGGCACAAAAAGAGAGCGGTGGTCCAAAAACTATTTAAGTCCTAGTATCCGTATTTAGTAACGTTTGGCACAAACTTTATCGTCTGGTTGTTGCTTAATCGCGATCGGCTATGAAAGGCTATAAGAAATTGTATAGCCGGCTACAGAAGCTATTGCAAATCTTACAGCCGGCTTTAGGTCTATGGTATTTTTGAACACACATTCTACTGCCAATTTTTACCAGGGGACCATCGGATATCATCTGATTTTTCTGAACTATCTGCATAGATTTGATAAAAATCTGGATGAGAGTAACTGGAATTTGCGAAATTTCAGCCGTTAAGCGATGACTGTGGACTTCCAGAGTCAGCTGCCAAATTCAGCTTGTGATTCCGGCATTGTCGGAAGAATTGTCGATTTTGGTCCGTTTTCATGAGTAAATTATCCACAAAGAGAAGTAGTAGCGACGTTTTCAAGAAGTAACGTGGAGTACAGAAAATGAATCATGACAGAAAATCCACAGCGTTGCAAACTGACAATCGCGTTTTTGCAGTTTCCGACCGACTATAAACGCATGACCGAGCCAGCACTCCTCCGGACATCTTCCGATAAAATAATCACCCTGCATAAACGAAAAAGTGGCCGGCAGGAAAGAGAGTAACGGTGAGAATATTGAAGGAGAGCATCGAAAGGGGAGGGGGAGGAAATGTAATTGAGTCGCAGGATTGCGGAGGACTGATTGCCCGGTGACACTGTCGGGTCGGTCGGCGTCGAACGGCTCCTATTGATTTGGCACCTCGAACAAATGGCTTTTGCGAACTCACCAATCTCCACCGTTGCCTATTCTGCCGTGCTAAGGAAAAACGCCGTATGAACCTTCAGGCGTTGCCAAAGATCCTTTGATAAAATACACATTTCTTGGTAAACATATGAATGTTTTTCTTCCAATTTTTCATATAATTTTGTTGGCAATATCACGTAAAGTTCCTGAAAATTTCATTACAGCATCATATGCCACATGCTCTACGTTGTTGAGTCCTGTATCTTGTCATGAATCACAGATACAGTATGTTGAACAAATGCCCGTGGAATTAAAATGCTTGGAATTTTATTAATAATTTTCATCCAAATTCTGCTCACTATAAAAACCCACGGAGGTTCCTCAGACTTCATTCGAATCGAGACCCTTGAGGACAATCCTCAGAGAACAAATGCCAGAGAAAATTACGGCCAATACTGCAGTGCAAAGGAGGAACGCCGTATGAAAATTCGAGAGTTGCCAAATTTCCCTCGATAAATTGTGCCTTTTGGACGCAATTTAAGCATAGGTTCCCTCGAAATTTTCAGATATTTTAGATTAAATTGCATACGAAATTGTCTGAGAATTTCGAGGAAAAATAATGACGACTTTCCCACTAAGTTCTGTTTTTATCGAAGGAAATTCGGCAACGCCCGAAGACTCATACGACGTTCTTCCTTAGCATGGCAAAATAGTTATCAAAGAAAGTCAAGGCGGGTGGAGTATTCCGACAGCGATCCCGCACTTCAAAAACGCGAACGCTGCCAATACCAGCGCGAGATCAGTGGACCGTTAAGACGTGTGAAAAAATTCATAAAAAAGGGCAAAGGGTGCGATGCGCCTTTAGTTCGCACTCGGGCGAAAAATTAAAAGAGAGAGCGCGGAGAGAATGGAGGCTGCGAGGAGAGAAGGTGCAAGGATTAAACTAGAATGCATCAGACTTGGCGGTACTCTCAATGCTCTCCTCCTATAAATCACCCCGGCTGCTCACAAACAGCGCAGCGATGTCGAATTGTGGGAATTTTGCAGGATACTCAAAAAGAAATCAATTCGAAATACGAACATTTCAAGAAAAAAGTTTGCAACAGAGGAAGGGCACCTAGCTCACATTTCAAAATTTTCACTGTCACATTTCCCATTGTTGTCGCATTAGGAGCCCTGATTAAGCTTTTTTCGATCAGTAAGTTCCTTATTGCATTTCTATACGTGGTTTTCGACGGAAGTGATGCTATTGGGCTTTCTTTTGACGCACTGAACAATTTTTAAAGCAGACCATGCAGTTTACTTCAGATGGTTTCCTTTGGTGGCCTAACCGTCTACTGTTTTGTATTGCGTGATATACTGAGTAGGCAATCGATCGAATCTGACAGAAAAAGACAATCTCAAATCAATTTATTGTGAGTTGCGCCGATGAGACTCCCAAGTTTGAATGATTAGTTGATAGTTTGAATAAGCCACACAGAGAGGCCTGCAGAGCTTCAAGCCTCCTGTAACCTATTTCGTAATTGCACCTGTGAAGTAGGAAGAGACGTGTTGAAAAAATGAAATGAAACTGATGAAAATGTACCTTTTTTGAAATATTTTTTGAAAATTCAGCTGTGATGACGATTCCTTGAGAGACTAATGCGATTAAACAAAAAACTTGGCAATGGAGATGGTCACATTTGCATGATTGACGCGGGCTCGAACCTTGTCTCGTGTTATGCATCGGTGCTTGCCGCTTAAAACATCTACAGAGCTTTTTTTTGTTCTCCATCCCGACAATCCACTTCCACCGCAGCTTTTTTTTGCTGTGTACTCGGGCTTGGTGTCAGTTTCAGCCGCGTTCGCTTGGAATTAGTGATCCATTCACGGAGCTGACCGCATTGCTTCGAGTCTCCAGGAAGGACCTTTTTTTTATCCCACGATTATTATTCCTCATTCGAATTTTCTTTTTTCAAAAACAATTTCAAATCCAAATGAGAGCATGAATTTTGGACTCACAGTCAGAGCAAGGGCATATGAGGGCCTTTCCGACTTGGCGTCTTATACCCATGCATGTGAACGTCGCGAAGATTGTGCAACTTTTTCTTGGAAACGTCTGTAATTTGAATTGTTACTTCTAGGAGTCGCAGCCATATACAAGAGAATGTATACAAGTGTAAAGGATGGTATCGGTTGAAAGAAAATCTAAGCAAACACTTACCAAACAGGCGTTCGTCCTGTTCGAGTCACTATTTGGATAAGGCGTGTAGACGGCCAGCGCAACACAATTTGCGAAGATTGTTAGGAGAATCAGGTACTCAAAAGGTCTGAAAAACGCTAAGTTAAGAATTGTACTATATATTTTGCTGAAAAAATTTGAGAAATTACAGTTATGAACATCGAAAAAATGCTGCATACACCTGAAAAGAAAAAGACGATAAGAACACGCAAGAGACACAACGTAAGAGACACAAAATCACCGAAGGCTGAGCGAAACATGCAGTAAAATTGCGTTGAATGAACTATGGTGAGTTGTTCTTTTTCGTCATACAACAAAAATGATCCACAAAAGCTGTCAAGTTCTAGACTTAACTATGTGATGCATCATGAGATGAGAAGGAACAACCTTTCTTCTCCTCCTCTTGGGTTCAACGTGAGACCAACCAAAAATCCAGTCGTCCAGTCCAACAGTTTTCGGCGTCCCTTTTGTCTCCTCCCAGGAAAAACCCACCGAATCTAGCTCCACTATTTGAGAATTATCAAAACTTTCGGGGGTCGATTCTCTCTGAGCTCCGAAATTCAATTGTTGCCGATTCGTATTCATATAAGGACCGGGCTTCAAAAGCAATATTTGGTGGTGCTATTATCTTAGTTTCCTTAAAAGTGGCTTTTTGATCCCATAATATGTACACCTCACAAACTTGGAGGCTGCCGCCCTAACATCACATTCAGCGTTTCATAATGGCTCCTGGCACCAAAATGACCTTCCCTATGCAATAGTGCATCTTGAGTGTTGCACGCAAGAGGGGAGGGCAAAGGCGACCTCTTCAATCATGGCGCGCAGAGCCGTGAGTGATGTTTGACCATTCGAGGTTCATCAAATTATAAAGGAGGGACGCTGACCTACATTTTCGTGATGCGTGCTGTACCCCCGCTTACCATCTCCATCCCCAGTCCCCCGCTTTCCCGCCGGTAGACGCCACACATGAGCGATTCATCAAAATAATCTTTGTATCCATTCTGCGGTCGAGACAGTGATGACGTTTGCCGCGCTGCCGGGTTAACGACATTGAGGAATAGAGTCCGGAGGTATGGACTGTAAGTTTACGGTGTCTAATTTCGGTCGTATTCCGATCATGTAACCGGACTTTCGGTGCTGGGAACCGAGCGTTCTTCATAGTTTGGTTTGGTTTATTTTACTTAAAGCGTTCGGTTGAATGTGCCGAGGACAGGGTTTTAGAACCATAAGAGTCCGGTAACATGACCCGAGTAGAACTCGGGTAGGCGAGTAGGCTGATGTAGAACATTTAATTTACAGTTCATATGATCAAGTTTTCCTATCAGTGTTTTTATCTTTGATGGAATGGGGCTGTTGACTACGGGAGAAAAAGGCGACTAGGTATACACTTGGCATCAAAGTAACTGAAACAAAGGTATGTTAATCCTCTATTCAAACAGCCAAAATCAAACAAACGCCTAATCGCGTTGATTTCGTTTCAGTTTCCAAAAAAATGCGACATTTAAATGTATTACGACATTGCCGGTTCTCTAAATATAAAAAAAAAACCTTATGGTACCCATAATTTGTTGGATTTCCTTTATCCTGCTACAACGAGACGTTCTTTCTGTTTAGATCTTTAATGCGTACTGCAAGGGAACCCACACATTATTCCTTCTGATTTGCTGTTGAATGTCGATTCGAACAGCACTCTCTGCCGGATTACATTTTAACTAATTCTGTTTGAACGACATACACTTACGATTGCTCAAATGTATAACAACGAAATCCTTCTGAAATGTGGGTAACAACTCTCACACTTATATTTTGCGACTTGAGAACGACAAAGGTTTCTTCATTTAGGTGTTAGAACTTCTGAGATGGGTCTCAACACTGTCATTTTGCACTTTTAGGCTACATGCATGCGTTTCACTTTGAGGTGTTTACAAATTTGGCAGTTATGCTATTGGTTACATTTTTGAACAATGTTTCAGGAAAGATAGCGCGCAACTGTTAACTAGGGTTGCTATGAACGATATTGAATGCAGTAAAATGTATGAAAGCTTTACTGCCATCTGAGTTATCATTCGCGAGCTTCAACCGATGGGCTACTGCTGACATGAAAAAGTAGAGAGGAAAAGCTACTGAATTAGTTTAAAGAAAATAATCTTGTATCTTTAGTAAATTTTTATGGTGATTATAATTTTAGCTATTGAAAATAAGCTGTCAGTAACATTCCAACAAATTTCACAGAAAAATATTCTTGAAAGCCAAGAGCGATTAATGGAATCAATCGCTGTAAGACTTTCAGAGTTACAAAAAACCTAAACATACGGAAAAAGAAGACATGCAGTAAACATTGCTAAGGTTGAAGCTGCCCATGCGTTCTTCTGTCAATCAGGAACATTCATCTTCTTAGGTTTATCCTCTACTTTCAATTTCATGGGGTGATCTTCCTGAATATTTTGGGCAAAATTCAGCGAGTTTAAAAGTGCGGCGAAGGTGCACAACTTTAAAGCAACACCAGATGAACATGTGTCCTTTTCCCAAATGCTCCTTCAAAATACGCCGTGAAACGAATGATGTAACCACAAACCCCTTTGTTGAGCTCGATGTCACTCGAAAAATTTCACCTCATAATAAATGCTTGCGGTGAATGTACAAAGTGGTCTTGAAAGGATACGACTCACAGACTTGACAACGCTCAAATTACAGTGCGATTTTTGCAAGGAAATAAACAGCTTCCCAAAGAAATATGGGGCAAGACGAAGGAGAGAGTAGAAAAAGGACGGAGTGAATGAAGACAAGACACGACGGGTAGGAAAAAGCTCATGTCTGCCGGATAAAACCCGGAGATAAGAGCGGAGAACGAGACTCTTACTCGTTCTGCGAACCGCGATTTCAAGATCCTGGGTTCTCGCATCGTAAAAAATAATATTGATATTCAGTTACGGCGCATATCAGCGTTTTCTTTGAATTAAAATAAGTGGTTGGAAATACAGAGACACGACAACTTAAGATCTTTCTTTCTTAGCCAAACCACTCTGGGTTTGAAGATAGAGTTTATGATATCTCAACGACTCAATGCGAGCTCACTGAGATCGTTCCAATAATATAGGCTACCGTTCCGGCTTCGCAGCCTGACCTGCAAGGAGGGCAGTCATTGCAGTGCGCGGTTGGGCCTTCAATCTCCAGGAATATATTATTCTACCTCTCCTTCTCTATTGCTAATGATTAATATACATATTATTCTACATCTCCTTTGTCTACTGCTAATTGAATCAGTGAGAACGAAAACACACCAACTCGATAACTCAAAAATGCTCCATTTTCATTAAAGAGAGTCAGTTTTCATAAAGGTCATTGAAGTTAACGCGTTTGTTCCAACTTGAACCTTTGAATCGTCCTTGAGTACTTGTCTTTCGGCACCAAAAATATTTTTCTTGTGCTAACTTCTTCAAGTACTGTGCAGTTTGCCTGGGCCGATTGCCACGCTTTTTAATGCTATCGATATTTGGATGGTTCTTATATCAACCCGTTTCATACAGGTTTTTTTTTTAAATGATACGCGATGATCTTGTGAATTCTTCAATTTAAACATTATGAAAGTTCATTTTTTGTTTCAGTTCGTTCTTGAAATCTCCCGGGTCGATTTTCATGATTTATGCGTTTATCGATAGAAGATAGTCCCTAAATATGCCAGCTTCATTTAGATTAACTCGCGAAGACCCGCGAAGCGCCATCAGAGAGAGAGAGAGAGAGAGATATATATAAAACGCGATTGTGCGCGCGTATAAACGCGGTGTGTGTGTACACTTACGGGTGTGAGATAAACTCGATGAAACAGCAGACCTGGTAGAATTTAGAGGCAACAGGAATGGACGGACACCTGACGTATTAATCGATAATTTATTATTAAAGGTCAATTTTTATAAGCGGCAAGGAAAGTCATGGGACGGGTGAGGAGAAAAAGGCGATAATAATCACATCCGCTTTGGGCACCAAATGGCCACGCTGAACCACTGATAGAATACAATTGTATGCTTATGACGAGTGATCCAAGCTTCAACCCGGGATCCTCAACTAAGTTCCCGATAATATTGGGACGAAATACGCTTTAAAACGTAAGATTTTCACATTTAATTTTAAAAGAAAATCAGTAATACATCAATGTATTTTAGGTGTTTAAATGTTTGTTTACTTTCGGAATGGATCAACTTCATAAATGATGCGACGTCCGAGTTAGATCCGTCGTAAAGGCAGGCGTGTGACTACCACTGAAGACTCGGGTTAGGTTAAGTTAGGTCACGCAACTAAACTAACTCTGCGGCAATGCGAGAGGTGTCGCATTGAATTGAAGGCGCGCCACCGCTCAAGATTCTTTCCTGATGCAATGTGCACGAACAGCAAGCCGATGACGGAGGTTGAGAAATGCGCAACCTCGATTGCAACGTTGCAAATCTCAATTAATGTTTTATTCACTTATTTAATCATTTATTTATTTATTTATTTTTAATCTTTACAACCCATGTACAAAAAGAGAGCAGCGGTCGGCCGGTATTTTCAAACTGAATCGCGTCCGGAATGAGACGGAGATCATGCATGCCAAACAGACCATCGCGTGTATCGCTTTATTCCGGAACAACTTATACAGGATGATCCACTGTTACAGTGCCAGACAGAAGGAGCGTGTTTTAAGGGTCAAAATAAGGCTTCATCTCTTATTTCCGCATCTTGGGAAAATCCGCAAGTTTCCAGCAATTCTGTACAGTGGCCTTTCAAAATCCCTGCTATTCCAGATTATCTTTGCCTTTCCCTTACGGTAGCCCCTGACACGGCCAAAATATTCAGAGAATACATAAATAACGGAAGATCCGACTGACTGGGTCAAAATATTTTTTAATTAAACCCACTGAAAAGTGGGAAGCGTTCCGCTTGGAAGGAAGAGGTTCACTGTCTCGTGCTGATAAGATAGACGCACAACATAGGTGCTGTTGCGCGCGGAAGATTCCCCGGTCACAGACAATAACCGCGAGGGATTCGGGAGCGGTTGCGCGGCAGCAGTGGCGTGGCGTGAATTGCGATGTATCGATTGTTATGCCATTTAAA